TCGTTCATATGCTAAGTGAATTTTCTAAATCAGCTTCCCCACTTCAAAGAGGTACATGCTGACAATAACTCAAGGAACAGTGTGTTGAGGAAACATTTGTGGTTATTTTGGCATCTTAACATCCACAGAAATGACTATTCTTCTACTCCCCATTATTTAAATGTTACCATATAAGGCAATAAAACCAAAGGTGAACAAGACATTTTAAAAACCATCTACAAGAAGAAATATCAAGTGAATAAGGTTAGTGAGCTACAATCTTCTGATCTCTTCCATTTCATAAAATAAAGTGTTTCTACCTTCTTGGCACCAACAACACAATGGATAGTCTAAGCCTTCCGAAATTCCATTCTTAACCCAGGACATGAGAAACTCATGTGCAGTTTTGGCTCCTTTGGGTGAAACTGCAGGTTGCATTTAAGTAGGATCAAAGCAGAAATAGAGATACAGACACTGAGAACACAAACATATGGATACCAAGGTCGGGGGGTGGGGTGGGATGAGGTGGGAGATGGGGATTGACATATGTACACTATTGATACTAGTATAAAATAGATAACTAATGAGAACCTACTGTATAGCACAGGGAACTCTGCTCAATGCTCTGCACTGACCCAAATGAGAAGGAAATCCAAAAAGAGGGGATATATGTATAGCTGATTCAATTTGCTGTACTGTGTCAACTAACACAATATTGTAAAGCAACTATACTCCAATAAAAAAAATAATAAAGCGGATCAGATTTGGGTGTTACATGGGGACAGAGTGGCTTGATGCCAGGAAGGGGAATGGTTCCCTAATGCCACCTTGCTGGAGCCAAGCAGACATCATCAGTCACATTTTCTGTATCTGATTTGGCATTCATAGTACTAAGTTAAACAGTCTGTAAAGATGAATAAGACATGGAACCTGACTTCAGAGTTAATAGTCCATCAAGGAAATAATATGATGTCATGATACATGATAAAAAGACTGTCAGTGTATCATGGTCACATGAAATGTAGTGTAACAATAGTGTCAATATTGACAATGAAGATCACATTGTGCCATGCAGGGGTCCTTTGATCCTTACAAAGTCTTATGAAAAGGTACTGTTACTATCATCTCCACAGAGGAGGAAACTAAAGCACAAACAACTTGCCCATGTCTGGTAAATGACAGAATTTGGATGTGCTCCTGGGCAGGCTGGTTTTGGAGTCAGAACTCCTAACCACTGCTTAAACTGTGTCTCTTACGATTAATTGTGTAATTAGCTCTGCCTGGTATGATTTAATGGTGTTCTTTATTTTATTTATTTATTATTTTATTTGGCTACCTTGGGTGTTCATTGCCGCACGTGGGCTTTCTCTAGTTGCGTTGAGTGGGGGCTACTCTTCGTTGCGGTGCGCGGGCTTCTCATTGCGGTGGCTTCCCTTGTTGCAGAGCATGGGCTCTAGGTGCACGGGCTTCAGTAGTTGTGGCATGCGGGCTCAGTAGTTGTGGCTCGTGGACTCTAGAGCACAGGCTCAGTAGTTGTGGCACGTGGGCTTAGTTGCTCCACAGCATGTGGGATCTTCCCAGACCAGGGCTTGATTCTTAACCACTGTGCCACCAGGGAAGTCCCTAATGGTGTTCTTTAAATGAGAGCAGTGAAAGAAAGAAAGAAGGAAGGAAGGAAGGAAGGGACGGAGGGAGGGAGGGAGGAAAGAAGGGAGGAAGGAAGGAATTAGGAAGGAAGGAAGAATATCACCGTTCTCTCCAGGCAGAGAGAATTCCATGAGCAACAAGACACATGGGTTAAAGTAGCTTGGGATTCTCTGAGAATCAAAGAAGGTCCAGTTCAGTTGCAGGAACCAAATCACGGAGTTCTTTTTGTGCCATTCTTGGAAGTTTGAGTTCTGTTCTGCAGTTAGTAAAGTCCACATAATATATTAAACCAGGCAGGTGGATGATTACTGATTGCCTTTTGCTTTAAAAAATTATTCAAAAAGCAATGTGAAAATGGTTTGGAGGTCAGTTATATTAGAAGCAAGTAAAACCTTAGTACAGGTAGGGACTGGTGATTGAATAAACTCAACCAGTGGCAGGGAGGCAGAGCTGGGTTGAAGATACAGTTCAAAGACAGACGGAGTAAGTTTTAAGGACCAATTCTATTATAAAGAATGTTTTAGGAGAGAATACCCAGAGAACTGGAATTTATGGCTTAAATGGCTTTGAGTGTATTTTTAAAAAAGGAACAAGTAATTTGATCTTGTTTTTCATTTGATTTGGTTTGTATGCTGAAAGACTGATTGAAGATAATGACCTCACTTTGGGACAAAGATATCCAGGAGCCGCACCTAATGCAGTTAGACACACAGGTGATTTTTTTTGCCTCTAGTTATGAACCTGAAGTATGGACTTGGGAGTCTTCAGTTCCTAAAAGCAGGAGGAGTGGATGAGATCAACTGGAGAGAACACAGAGTGAGAAAAGACTAAACCCTGAGAAAGATTAATAAAAGTGGGCAGAAGAGGAGGAATCCGCAGACACCAAGTGAGCAGTGCAAGGGGAGAGCAAGGAGGATCAGCAAAGGATGGAGTCGTGAAATCTAAGAAATAAGAAATTTTCATGAAGCTGTAAATGGTAACAATAACAACAACAACAACAGAAAGTCAAATGATGCAAGATCTCAAACAGTATAAGGACTAAGAATGCGTCAGTTACAACTGACAAATTTGGAGATGAATTTGGACAAAAAAATTTGGACAAAAAAATTTGGACAAATTTTTTTCTCAAATTTGGAGACACCAACAGGGAAAATTCCCGTCAAGTCTGAGACCAGAATTCACACTTTAATGGGCTTAATTAGAGACAATATGGGAAGACAGTGTGTATAGAAAACTGGGGTTGTTTACCAGTGAAAAGAAAGCTAAAAGAGTGTGGTCACTAGAAGTGATCTCATGGGCAGAAAAGGATTGTTTTGCTTCTATCTTCTTTATAGGTGGGAGAGACTTGAGTATTTTACAGGCTGAAAGGAATATTCAGTAGACAAGACAGTATTGGAGACAGGGACTGCTGGATGACACAAAATTCTTTATCAGATGACAGGAGATAAAATAAAGAAGATGGTATTCTCAGCATCTTAACTACAATTTGTTTCCTGAGGGAAATATTCATTGTTGTAAATGTCTAAGTGGACAGTGGAGAGGATGAACCACTTGTGCAACTGCTGAAATAGTTCAAAGAATAGAATGTTACACTGTTACTATAAGGTTCAGACAAAGATGTCACAGAAGGCAGACGTATGTACTTGCAGTCGACCTCTATACGGTATAGACGGTGACCTGGGAAGGGAGACATGCTCCCTGTGTACTAGGCAGTCCTCACTGCCTCTAATACGGCACCACCCGAAGTTCACTTTGGGCTGCTCAGATTGCAGGCTGAAATCTCAATTTTTTTCTCTGTAGGTTTGTAATGGATCAGGATGAAAACTTGGAAAGTTAGGTCTTTGGGAAAACAAATTCAGATTTTAAATTGTGCACTGGAAAGATGACTGACTAAAGCAAAGCATTCACTCTCTCCAGTCCAGACCTAGGTCACTGGGGCATCTCCAATCCTTGACACCATGTGCCATTAAATTACAAATGTAAAATACTTGGTACTTAGTATGTGTTCAACAAATGTCATTCCCTTACATTATAATACCTGTTTTCTGTCACTGTCGCTGAGCATATAATGCCTTATTCTATGCCTTCTGGGTTAACTATTTTATTTTCCCAACTATACAATACGATTCTAGAGGACTTTATTTCATGTCTTTACATCTTGTCTTTTGTTCTTCTGACCACCAAGTTTAAAGGGCCTTGTTGGAAATAAGAGAAGGCTTATTGGATAAATGAAAGGATATTCTTAAGTTTCACTCCTAGAGAAGTTTTAATGAACAAAGGACAAAGGACTAGACTCTTACCCTAGACTACCAACCATGTTGACTCTTTCATGGAAGGATAGACCATGAGTTTCTTGAGGGCAAAGCCCTTGTCTCATACATTGTTTTTTTTAACCTATAGAGCATAGTACTGTGCTTGGCAGACTCATTGGATGTTTACTGAATGAGTAAATAAATGACCCCCTGAATGAATAACTATAAAAATAAGAGGGAGCTAAACATTTTCTACATCCCACAGGTGTTCATTAGATGCAGCTGACTAAATAGAAAAATGGAGTTTAATTCCTTCCATCCTCTAAGTTGATCTTAAATGAGACCTTCATTCTGATTGATTCTTTAATGAGACTGAAAGACAGAAAACTGAAAGCCACGGAGAAATCTAAGATAAAAGGTTGTGAAAATAAAAATAATACTTATTCTTTGGTTTGTTGGTCCATTGCAGGATGGCCAAAGTAAAGAAAAGAAATTGCAAAGTAAGAAGAAAGTTTCAACCAAAGAATATTCAGAATGACAGAATTTTAGAGAGGCCAGATCGTGTAGCTTAAGTCTGATTTTTTCAGAGGAGAATTTTAGGCTATGTGACTTGTTCTAAGTAAGAGGCTGCAAGTTTCCAGGTGCTTATTACGATGAAGAATGAAAATGCAATCACCAAGCTACTAACTTGACTTTGTCCGTTACCCTTCCCCTGATAGCCAGAAGGCAAGAGTGGAGCATTATTAATGTCAAAATGAACCTGGGCACATGCTAAAACTACTGAAGTCTCAACTCTAGAGTTATTAGTAGGAGCAACACTCTTACCGTAGAGATACACGGACACTTCTCCCAGACCAGTCTATCTACATACACCCCCCCTTCAAATCCTACTCCTTACTCTTTCTCAGATGAGAAAGGGAGAGACAGAATGTGGGCAGAAGCATTGTGAGGATGGGTGACATGGGGGTGCCATGAAATAAGAGTCACTCACAGGAAGAAAAAAAATACAATGATGAGAGAGGTTTAAAACAAAAAGAAAGATTTGAGTATTTTTCTTCAGTACTGATTTCAGAGTTCAAACATACCTCAGCAATTAAAATAGAGAAAATGTAGTCTACTTACCCATTCTGTATGGCAGCTGTGGGGTCATAGGTCAGAGCCATGCCAGCCTGTATATGGGGGGAAGAGGGGAGAAAATGGATCTTAACATTTTTATGGTGGTGTCCAAAGCATTCAATACGCACAATGCTTTTATCTTTACTTTCTACGATTTAAGTTTACTTTATCCTATATATTTCTCCTCCCTTACTACCAAGACTAGAATTTTTACTATCTGAACACAAGAATCCACCAGTGAGTTAGGGAGTTTATATTATATATCCAGACAAACCAAAGAACAATGCAGTTTGGATGATTTGCATTTCTAATTCATAAGCCATGCACTGTCTAATCTGGTATCCTTATAATTTCTCAGTATTTTCAAGAATACCTATTGTATATCCCATGGCATGAAAAAAAGGAAAGGACAGATGCTGGGGTCAGAGTAAAAATAAAAGCTACTTAAAACACATTCGACCTTTTAGAAGAAAATGTTAAGAAACATTTATTTTAAAATATTGCATGCCTCAGGGGTGTCTAGGCAATGAATCACAGAGTGCTGTCCAATACTTGCTGGTACCTGTCCCACTAAGAGTGTAGAAAGGGAAGGCCATTTACATGTGATGGAAATTCTAGGCCTTGTGGCTAATAAGGAGGTGGTTTAGTTTTTTTTTCTAAGAATAAAACCACCACTGAAAAACTACATTTCTGTAACTGGCAGTTGTTGCAGAAAAGAATATCAACTTGATGATCGCTGACTGACACCCTACCTCCTTTCATACACATCATCGTATTTCATCCTCACAAGGACCCTATGAAGTAGGCAGGAGAAATATTTCCTCCATTTGATAGATGCAGACACGGAAACTTGGAGGGATCAATTGACTTGGTTAAGGTCACATGTGTGGAGGCAGAACCAGATTCCAACCCAGACCAGCCATGACATTGACTAGGATTCTGAATGAGCCCCGAAGATCATTTCTCTGTGGCCGCATGGGTCTACCGTCCTTTGTTTTCCAAAACTGTCAGCCTGGTTATTGCTTGTGAGCAGAAACAGAAATAGAATGAAACAAAGATGACTAGGTTGTCTTTAGGTCGGATTTTTTTCCTTTTGGAAACTTAAAAATAAATTAGTCCAATGTCAATGTCCTGGCTCGACAATGCACTATTATTATATAAGATGTAACCACTGGGAGAGAAGGGGTACAGGGTAAATAGGACCTCCCTGTACATGTCTTTTGCAATTTCCTGTGAATATATAATTATTTCAAAATAATAAGAAAAAATAAATTAGCTTTAGTAAGAAAAAAATAAGAAAAAAATAAATTGACTTTTGTAGAGGATAAGAAAAACCATAAAAACTAGGGAAAATAAAAAAGAGCTTTTTTCATGTTTGAGTTTTTTTTCCAGTGTGATTGAAGGTGGTGGTTTTCCTGATAAGCTCATTTAATTCCTCAGTTTTTACACATAAGTAAAATGAAAATTCTCAGGCTTTCTAAGATAGGGCCTGAAGTCCAGGACAGCCTGCTACATTCAAGCTTACGTGCATTGTTTTCCCTAAACAGTAATTTAAAAATTATTATTAAGATTGGTATGAGGAACAAAACTGTAGAGCCATCTATAAATGAAACTGGCATACAGGGAGCACACGTAATTGAAACGAAGTTTGCAAACAAAGCTGAGATGGAGACGCACTGAGAATACAGGCTTAATGATAACTGCCCATCACTCATGTTGAAGAAATACAATGTGATAATGTGACAAGCTGGGGTCTGGAAAATGAGAATAGAAGAGTGGAAATGAAGACAGATTACTTTCCCCCCATGGGAGAAGCAAAGGTAGTGATGTCAAAGCACGTAGATTCTAAGTCTAAATTCTTCCCTGGATGGGGTCTCTGCCATGTGACAAACAGGAGGCTGGTCCGAGGCCAAAGACTCCCCAGGAGGGACCTGTCCAGGCGGGACTCCATGGTTCGGGGTCCTGGAGAGGGCAGCTGGAAAAGCTGTCCATCTGGGATGAGATTTCCCTCTTAAAAGCCCTAAGCTTCTCTCCCCTAACTTATCCAAGATGTCACAACAAAGACAGGATGAAAAAAACAGGTTTTGTACTCAATAAAGATATTGTTATTTAATAAGAGATTTAAATGATCATTGTATCTTCAGACCCCTGTTCACCCCCAAATTGTTTAAATCCCAGGGGACTTTAGGAAGCCACATTTAACTGTTTTCCTTGAACGTATTTTCCAATAGTGCTCAGAGACCAATGCCTTTCTTGAATTATAGGTCTTCAATATTTTCTTTTTATGCCATGTGTATTTGTTCTGGCAATGTCAGGTAAAGATTTTTTTCTTTCACATTTGACTTGAATTCCTCACGGATTATAGTTAACCAATCAGGTCTAGCTAGGAATACGGTAATTATCACAAAAATTCTCTCTCTTTCTTGAATAGTATTTGATAATCAGAAAGCCTAAGTTGGCCTCTTCCTCCATCTTAAACCTCCACTCATCTTTCAGAAGATGGAAAGAACTAAATAGATGATAATATGGTTTAGTGGAAAGAATATATGTTTTGGACCTGGGTCCAAGTCTTAGCTCTGTTGTTCTCTAGCACTGTGACCTCAGGCAAGTTATTTAATCTATTTGACCCTCATTTTCCTTAATTGTCAAGTGGTATAGTAATACCTACCTCAGATGATTGTTGTGAAATTTAAAAGATATTACTTTTGTGAAATGCCCACCACAGTGCCTGGAGACAAGACACATACATAAACATTATAACACAAAGCAACACGTGGCAAGTGCCCCGTGAGGGTATGCATGAGGTGTAGGGGAGAGGCCAGGGTGGTCAGGGAAGGCACTTGGAGGAGGTACAGGTGAGAGATTTCCATAGATGGAGATGAGAGGCGGAGGCCAGCTTAGGCAGAAGGAATAAGAGCATGGAAAAGGCGTGTAAATAAAAAGGGCAAGGCGGACGATCCACTTGCAGTAGAACACTGGAGGGAGCAGTTGACAATAAGATTTGGAAGGAAAGGAGGAAGGTCTTGATTGCTTGGCTCCTCTTGGGGAGCCACTGATCATTTTTCAAGCAGAAAAATCATATAGTCAAAGAGGGCTTTGGCAACAAGAAATAGCATGAGCCCCCTGGAAAACAGAGGGAAGAACCAGAGTGATGGGTGAGTAGGGTAGGCACTGGGGGACAGATGGGTGGAGAGAAACTAAGGAGAGGATGAAGCCAAGTTTCATCTACTTCATGATTTGGCCTGGGGCCAGTCGTGTCTCTGAGGACCTTGGGCAAGAGAAGACAACCAGAGATCTGCATTTGGAACACTGTGGTTTACAAAGCAAGGCATGGGTTAAACAAAGGGGTGTTTGAACTTAAACCGCTGGCTGAATATCACAGCACAATAACTAACACTGGGATGCACCTGGTTTTCATTTCATGTGTAACAGATTGTTGAGTTATAATTCTAATATGGTCTTAATGCAGATTTTGCATTCCATTTCCTTTTGTTTCTTTCCACAAGGTAAAAAAGAAAATTGATTTTGCTGCTCTGTCTAGCCACCTTTATACTGAGCTAGAACCATGAAATCGTCATTATGTAATAAACAAATTTTATGGCATGTTTACAAACTCCAGAGTCACACAAAAAGTAAAGTAACTTGGAACAAAACGAAAATGTCACACCACATAAATAGAGAAGTGATGTTTAATCCCGTCACTCTCTTTTGAAAGGGGTTTATTAAATTCACAAATATTTCCCACTTTTTAAGTTCACATTATTTGTGGATTAAAGGCATTTATGATTTATTTAAAACAAAGAGGGGATATTTTTGTCATTTTCCAGCAGCAGCTGAGTTTTGGCTTAATATTTCAGCCATAATGGGGTATTTCTAGTCCTTTCAGATAGAATCTATAAGAGCTAAATAAAAGCTTTAAAATATGGTTTATTGGAGTAATTAGGTGTCAATGAAAAAATGTTGCCTGCCATATCAGTAAACAAAGATTTGCAGCCATCAAGCCATCACACTACAGCCACTCTGGTGAGCCCTGAGGGAACTCAGAATAGAAACAGGATGCCCACCGTCAAATCATCAGACACTGCAGCCACCGCCCACCCCACAGTGCATCCTGAAGAGACTCAGGATGAGAAAGCACGGGATATTGGCCCCAGATAGCTGAGGTGCATATCAAAGCAATGATTTCAATGAGCCCTGACTTTTGCATCTTCCCATATATAGGAAGATGCATCCTTAACTTGAGATGTCTGGTTTTCCTTAATTAACAGTAATCTTTTGATGTTCTGACTACCTGGTTTTTGTTGCAAACACTCCTGTATCTCCTGGTTCCTCCCTTACCTCTTTGGAAGCAGCCTCTCAGAGTGATCTGGATGCTGTGTCCCAGGCTTAAGTGCTCAGTTTTGTCCAACAAATAAAACATAATTCTCAACTTTTAGGTTGAGCATTTTTTTTTCAGTCGGCATAGGGACCCAAAATTATTTCCAATAAACATAGGGGATTCATTGAGACACATCATTTTGACTTAGGGGCTAGATATTTGATATCCATAACTTTAAATGAAGAAGTAATAATTATGGAAATACTGCTTAAAATGTACTTGCTAGAGAAGGCATTACCACTTCAAGAAGACCTTCTAGACTGGAATGCTTGGTCTTATCTGAGGAGCAGAGTATCACTGACTCTAACAAAGCCACTGAAAAGATAGCTGAAAGAATGGTTTCTATCATTTTTGAAACTGGTTTTACAGTGTAATTTGAATGGGAATCAAAACATTTGATTACATGGACAAATACACACTGTAATTCCTGGAAAACTGAAACACTGATGCTGTAGCCTAATGTTTCTCCTTTTCCTAAATTCTGCCCTGACACACAATACATCATGATTGGATGAGTTACAAATGAAAAATTACAAAACTTTCCAATCTTCTAAGATCAGATTTCAGGCAACACTTTAATAAATAGGTAGTAAATATTGTTTATTTTAGTAAATATTGCGTACTGAATTAGCACAAGATGAGTTCAGGAAGCCAACAAAGAAAAGGATAACTTGG